CGGGTCGCGCAGAGCCGTTCGGCCGGGGTCCCGCCGCCGCCAGGCCCGCGTTGGGGTACCTGTGGGACGGCCCCTTCCTCGGGAGAGGGTCGGCCCTTCAGCCGGCTGCCGCTGCCTGTAGTTGAATTCCTGTTGCTCCGCTTTACGAAGAGCGTAGCTTGCGTTCTGTAAATGGAGAGGTGAAGCAGTTGCGCGTTGAGCGCTAAAATTCCTTTTAATAACTTCCTTCACTGTCTCATAGGAGAGGAATCTATTACCAAATTATAAAGTTCATGTACTTACTGCAACGAAAATACAACTGAGAAAGTGGAAAGTAGGATCATCAAAGTAAGGCCTTCTACCTTTTAAAGCAAAGATCAGAAAATTGAAAGAAAGGTTACGTGAGTAATCGTAATTGTAGGGATAATCTTCGCACCTTTGGGAAAACAAATACCGTTGTTCTGTAAGTCCATCTCCAGTCACGCGGGCAGTAAAAATCAGTTACGGTGTCACAAAAATGAGCCTGCAACGTCGGTGGCGATTCCGAGGCTTTAGCAGGAAAGCGCGGCGGGCGTTTCTCTGCCGGGGGAGCTCCCGGGAGCCCTCGCGAATCATAGAATCGTTAAGGTTGGAAAAGGCCTCCAAGATCACCGAGCCCAACCGTCGACCCAACACCACCGTATGTCCGGCCTCGGGCTGCGGGTTTTGGTCGGCCGTGTGACCTGTGTGATCCCTGCGCTAGGTGGAGCAGGTCGGTGCCTGCTTGCGTCCTGAGGAGGATTACAGCGCTGTGATGGGGCTGAACTCCACTAACACAGGGAAAGAAAGGAGAATGCGTTCCGGGGTTTCCTTCTTTATAGTCATATTTCCATAGTTAAATATTTTGGACACGTTTATTGAAGTCTCTGTAGTCAGACTTGGAAATGGTTGGTGGCAAGAATAACTGAGGAGTTTGTTTAGGAACAGAAGATAGCTTTGATTAGGCTTTTTTTTTTAAAGGTAGCAATGAATAGTTTTGTACATATAAAATCTAGAATAGAAAGTATTCCAAAGGCAGTATAAATTGATTTTAGTAAATAATTGAGAATGTGAAATAGGAACTGAAAAATTGCCCCTTTTTTCCCCTGCATCGTGTCCTGTAGGTAGATGTCATAATGTGTTTAATGTCTGTATCACAGTTCCTCCTTATGTCATAATGCTGCCTGATACATGTGGTGCCGAAGTGAAGGGGAAAACAGCCTTTTTTTTTTTTCCCTCTTTAAACTAAGCTCGTTTTTTAAATATAGATGGTAACAAAAGTGATAGTATGACCAACTTTGTTCTCTAATAGTGAGTTTGCAAATAAACATTCTAAAGAGCAGATTAATGCTGGTATCAAGTGAAATGTCAATAGCAGTTAATGGACAGTATTTAAATAAGTTTGAGACGTAAAATTTTCCTACTTTTTTACAGGCCTACAGCCTGTAGTAGTAATTTGGTCAATGGATAACGCTCATTTCTCCAGGCCTCTGACTTAAAACCAAAAAGTAATACTAGCATATATAGCAAGAATTATCTTGTTTAGCTTAACGGTATTGTTTATAAGGGTTTGAATTGATGGACGTGGCTATATGCCTAAAAGGCCTGGATCTGAGTAGGGGATCATCTTCTGTGACTTTTTAGAAAAGAAGAAAGGATTGTTTGCTGCAACTTATTTACTGAAAATAAGCTTTGCTTTTGCCGGGGGGTGTTTAAAATAGAAGTCTGTATCTGTCCGTAATGCGCTGTCGTTCTTTGTAGGCAGTATGGAGGCTATGAATACTCTCAACAAAGTGGATTTGTCCCTCCAGACATGATGCAGCAGCAGCAGCCTTACACAGGGCAGATTTACCAGCCAACACAGACGTACACTCCAACTTCGGCACAGTCTTTCTATGGAAGTAATTTTGAGGATGAGCCTCCTCTATTAGAAGGTATAACTTAAGCTTTATGGCCAAAATCCAAAACTCTTCCCAATTTGGGGATAAGTTGAGTAGCAGGGTGTGTATTCCCTACTTCTGAAAGTGCACAGTTGATTTGAAATTATCTTTTTTTTTTTATTTAACTGTATTTTGGTGTATGAAATACATGTTCTTGTGTGAACTTCTGCAGTTTTAGAATTGTGCTTTAATACTTCATGCCAGCTGTTCTATGGAAGAAATAATCAATTAAATGGATAACCTGACTTCATACAGCTCAGGTGACAAAAACACTTACTATTTCTGTTGTTGCAAATAATTCTTATAATTGCCCACTTTTTGTAAAATAAATCGATGCAGTTAGTTTCAGTTGATTCTTTGGTTAGAACTGAAACCTTTCATTGATAAAGAGGAATGCTGAACACTGCAGAAATTCCTATGCAGAATACAGCCTGTGCAGAATGCCGGAACAGGTAGGTAGGTAGTGTCTGGATTGATGGTTTTTTTTTCCAGCTTGTATCCATCATTGTTGAGTACCAAACAACTGAAGAAACCCTTACTGTTACTGGTTATTCCTGATACCTTTCACCTGTACCTATTCATGGTAACCTTCCACCTTGCTGTGCTTTTTTTATATTCTTCAAAAAAATTATTTTGTTTACATAGATGCTTCCCAGAGCCTGAGGTGGGCAAATAGTAACTGCATTCATAACTAGGTTTTGATGCACAACTGTGGTCAAACTGTATGGGTGGAGACTTTAAATTGTATCTAGCTGGAGGGAGCTGCGAAACTCCTTGTCATGGGACACTGAGTGTTAAAAAGGGTGGGTGGTTTTTTTTTAGCGGGCTCAATGGCTGGTTTATGAAAGATCAATCCACTGAGGGTAATTAAGTACAGAGAAACTGCTTTGAACTAGAAATCCTTGAGCCACCAGTTATTGGAGACTTGGGGAATCGGCATGTTCTGTGCTTATACTCTTTCGTACCTACCTGCTTTTGGCCACTTACAGGGACAGGGTACTGGGCTAAATGAACTTTTGGGCTGACCCAGAACACTGCGCTTATGCTCTTACCTGGTCCTTTAGAAACCACCTTGTCGCTTCTGAGCATTTGAGACCTGGAATCTGTGGAGGCAGCACACTCAGCAGCTTGAGGAAAGATGGAATGACTCAATTCTCTGGTCCCCATAGGATGGTATCTGGAGGAGATTTAAAAGTGGAGGGGGGGGGGAAACTAAGAGTGAAGCAAATGGGGGCGACAGGAAGGGAAAAAATGAAATAAATATGCATAATTCTTTTCATGTAATTTGTAGAATTGGGGATCAATTTTGACCACATCTGGCAGAAGACACTAACAGTGCTGCACCCATTAAAAGTAGCAGATGGCAGCATCATGAATGAGACTGACTTGGCTGGACCAATGGTCTTCTGTCTAGCTTTCGGAGCCACGTTATTACTGGTAAGATATTGACTGCAAAATATTACTGTTTGTGCATTAATACTTTTGGAAGCACTGGGGGAAAAAACCAAGTTACCTATAGGTTGACTGGAAGTGACTTCTTGGGATGGAGGCCAAAAAAGCACATCCTGACCAAGCACTTGTAGCTGTATGGAAGAGGAGCTGGGGCTTCACACACCGCTGATTGAGATTAATGAGTTCGCTGTCACTTTACTTCAGTGGAGTTTGAATCCAAGTCTTTGTGCTGGTTTTTGCATGGCAATTATTTCAATGTAATTCATATTTCTTTTCATGCTTTGCTTTTGAGGAATATGGCTCCCTTTTGTCACAGGAATGGGTGTGACCCACGTTCTCAGATTTTTACCTGTTTGGTGTTTTTTTTCTAGATTGAGATGTTTTACTTTCAGAATCATACCTTGTCTTTTTGCAGTGTCTCTGTTATCTTCTGTCTTATCAGGAATCGGAACAATGGACATGTTAAATATTTGAATATTATTTCATTTCTTCGTTTAGGAGTTTTTTATTTTTTAACTCTTACTATGTTTAGTATTTGAGTCTATTTCTCTGTTTTGTTTCATTGTATTTCTTTGCTCCATACTCTTTATTCATTGTTCTTTACTGATATTCAAGAGGCAAGAAAACTCAAAATTCATCTGTAAAAAGTGATTTCATAAGTACTGGTACATTAGGCATGACTTTCAGTATCAAGAGTCAGTCTGGTAAAACACTCTAAACCTGCTTTCAAACTGCTTGTACTTCTTAACAGGTCAGCAGCTGTTGAAGACTGGTGGTTTTTTTAGTTGAGCTTAATTGAAATGAGATTGTGCTTTAATGATTCAAAAGTGTCAATTATGAAATGACAGATTAGCAGCAAACAGTCTTCCTCGTCATTGAAAGCTTCAATATTTCTAATCAGTTTTTTTTCTCTAAATGTCTTCAGGCACTCCATTTAATTTTTGCTCAAAATTTCACATTGCTATGTCACTTAGAACACAGTGTTTTGGTACCAAGGGGACTTTAGGCCTACTTTTATAAGTAACCTTTATTTATAGAAACTAGGCCAATAGAATTAATGAACATGTTTATAATAGATACATTTGAATGGTCTTTTCCTGACAAAGTAATAGTTTCTTCTGTGTGCTTTTTTTTTTTTTTTAAATACATTGAGTGTAGTGAAAGCCAACAGGCTTAGCCCGGCAAAAAGATTAAAGCAGATACGATTGTTTTCTGTAGTGCTTGGGGAAGAAGAAAGCTGGGTTATAAGTAAACCTAGTTTGGAATTCAGTAGTGGGAGACAGACCTCAAAGCTACACACCATCGTAGCTTCAGTAACTGCACGGTCCCGACTCCCTGCGGGGGTGGACACCGTGCACTGTGCGCCTTTTGCTAGGTGTTGTAAGGGAAGCATCGGTCTCATCGTTGGAAAAACGGATGGTGACGTAGGATACATACATTTTGAAATAATGCATGTGTGCTTTCTGCATACTTGTTAGTAAGCGAAGTTCTGATTTTGACTTTTTAAAATCTACATGAGTTAATTCTGCCGTCCATATACAGTGCTTTACAGCTCAGCTTCAGCTGTTTCTGGGAATCTTTTATAATTTATGTTGTGCTATAACTTTGTGGAGTATGTCACAAATTAAAGGACTTCAGCTCTGGATTTGTCAAGAAGTTCCTGATTTACAATTTTTTGCTCTTCATACGCTAGTTCTGTAAAGATTATTGTCGCAAGTAATCAATCGGCATGAGAAGTTAGTTGATTAAACCCTAAAGAATTGATAGGCTTTTGCAGCCCAGATCAAAGAATAACAATTCAATCAAAATCTGCTCATCAGGATAGGTAGAGTTAGGATAAATGTGCCTCGTGGGTGCCTAGAATGTACCGTTGTCCTGGAACTCAAGTTGTGGGAAAATACTGCCTGTTGAATTTGACTGTAGGAATTGGGGGTGGGGGACATGAAGATACTCTGTAAACATTCTTTCTTTTTCCCTCTGTTTGTGGGAGGCATTACTTGTTCTGGCAACTAACGTGCATTACTCTGCTTGACTTTCAGGCTGGTAAAATTCAGTTTGGTTACGTGTATGGAATAAGTGCAATCGGATGTTTAGGGATGTTTTGTCTCCTGAACTTAATGAGCATGACGGGTGTCTCGTTCGGCTGCGTTGCCAGTGTCCTTGGATACTGTCTTCTTCCTATGATCCTACTTTCCACTTTCTCAATTGTATTTTCGTTGCAGTAAGTACATAAACTTTATAATTTGGTAATAGATTCCTCTCCTATGAGATAATGAAGGAAGTTATTAAAAGGAATTTTCAGATTCAGTGATGAAGCTGCATATAATTTGAATATGACGGGAATTGTAAGTGTAAAAACATTAGTATCAAAAGTCTTTAGGTGTTTTCTGGAAGAAAGATAGGTGAATGCTGGTTTTATCTGTAAGTCAATTAACAGCTTTTAAATACATAGACTCGAATAACAATATCAAGTTTGTTTTCAGTCAGCTTTGAATCTGGCAAATCTTGGTACCTGTAAAGTCTAAAAGTAATTATAATTTCAGATGCAAATTTGAATTTGACTAACAGAAGAAAATCACTGTGATTCCTCACAGCTATATGAAATGAGGGACTGAAAAGAAAGAACTTTACTCGCCGCTTTTACATTTCATATGCACAAAGTCAATTCTGTTTTTTTTAATGCTGTCGTAATTGAATAATGTCGTTCTGAAGTCTTTACTGCAACTATTTCATTTAATGTCAAATATAAAAGCTAAAATTCGTCTTAAAATCTGTAAAAGGTGTTAGGAGTCCAGTTACGACTCCTATAAGCATATATACACAAGTATTATATGAATTCTCTTTTTATTTCTGTCTTTACAGGGGAATGATGGGGATTATTCTCACGGCTGGAATCATTGGCTGGTGCAGTTTTTCTGCTTCCAAAATCTTTATTTCTGCCTTAGCAATGGAAGGACAACAACTTCTAGTAGCATACCCCTGTGCTTTATTGTACGGAGTCTTTGCTCTCATTTCTGTGTTTTGAATAGACTGTCCAAACTGTTGGACTCCAGTGGGCCAAAATGAAAACACCAACTTGGAACATTTAGTTGGACCAGAAACAGCTGCAAACAACTGTATAGTGTTGCTATCACGAAACTTAGACCTGTTTTGAATCACCTGGAACAATGAAAACAAATGTCTCGTGTTCACTTTTCTAGGACTTTGAATACTGTTTTCAATTGACCTGAGGTGTCTATAGCTTTAATAAGTGTTCATGCTTATCAAGTTAATGTAATTTCTTTCCCATTCCTACATCTTCAGAAAAGTAACTTTTGGTTGTTTATTTGAGGGTTGGGGGGTTTTGTTTGGGTTTTGTTGGTTTTTTTTTTAGGGGGGGGAGGGAGAAGGATTTCTGTTATAAATTGATAGATTTCTATCAGCAAGAGTTAACAGAACTGCAGATGCTGTAGATTCGGAGTACTCTTTGAATAAATCTGCAGTAGTAAAGAACCTATTTCCTGTCCCCTCTTACCAAAAGCAAAATGCACAAATGAACACAAGCAATTAGAGTATCTTCTATATTTTAACAAGCTTAAGCTCTTTGGTCTCATTTATTTGTTCATTTGATGTGATAGTATTTCAGGATTTAAGATACTTAAATTATGAATTAGAAAACAGATGCTTAAAAGTTAAAGGGATCTGTAATTCTGTCACACTTGAAATATGAATACATTTGGATGTCTAAGTAGCTGTATGTTAACTTGGATTTCTGAAGATGACTTCAACTAGAGTTTCTTTTCCTAATGGTGCACATACTAGTAGATGAAGAGTAATCTCTCTTGCAGTACTTCCAAGAAAAACATCATTTTGAAAATGTTATGCTTGTCAGTATTGTAGTTACTGTAAAATAATTTAAGGCATATTGATTAAATTTTCCTTGAATTTTGAAAAAGGTGTTTGATTTTTTCTAATCTTTCTTTTTTAAGGAGTTCAGTTACTAAAATAGAAACTTGAATATTGAAGCAAAATCATATTTAAAACTGTATTCAGTTAGTGGATTTGATACTTGCTTCAGTGACAAATACTTAGTCTTACATGAGAAGTTTGTGAGGTTAGTCACTTACAAGAAGTCTTACAAGCGTAAGAAGTGGGAAACCAAAAATGGTGGCTCTTCACATAAGCACTGGCTAATTCTAAAAATAAGCAAGAAAAGGATACAGACATACTTTAACTCATACTGGGGAGGGGAGGTTACTTAGTAGGTAGATAGTGATCCCCCGCCTTGGAAATGAAAAAGATCTAGCAAGGTGCTGGTTTATGACTACCATTTCTTCGGCAATTTAATCCAAGGGATGTCATTTCGTTGAATTTACCACAGGTGTTAGTCTGATGCTCATCTGTCATGTCCGTGGACTTCGGGAGTTGACTTGCTGGTCAGACGCGTTGGGTTAACACCTTCTGGTAAGACTCGATGTGCGAATGCGTCTTCAAAGGAAAGCTTTCATCTTACTGATACGTGAATGAATAATTTCAGAGGCTCAGCACACGTTTCTGTTCAGTCTTCCCTTAGTTCTGCATGTTCTCCAAAAAATATCTTCCTAGTGCCACTAGAAGCTACTGACGAGGTCCTTCTTTGCTGGCCAGAGCCAGCTTTTGCTTGTGTCACTGGGAGTCGTGGGAAGTGTCATGTGAGCGTAAAGCCTTTAAGAACCAAACGCCGATGTACAAAACCGTTCTGACTTGCATTATGTACTGTAACTGGCTGTTAGAATGAGAGAGCTCTCACACGCATAAAAAACTTCAGTTTCTTTCCAGAGGCGAATTCAAGTGCCCAGGTAACTTTCTACTTTGATATGTTATTACAAATTATCATCCTAAATAAAAATAGTGAGTTGATTTTATTTAGCAAAATGTTTTAGTCTGTACTTTGTAGTTCTGATTTCTTTGGATTAGTAGACCACATCTGCCCTGGTGCACAAAGTTCTTACTCCTTTTAATGAGGAACATTACCTGCTGATGGAGCATGATGTCCTGTATTTTTGCAAATAAATTACAGTGATTTCCTTTACTAATGAGGCCTAATTAAATACAGAATTGCTCTAGTAAGTATAAAAGCTCACATACTTTCTTGAGCACATCAGGTTCTAATACTCAAATACTGTATTTTTGTGAAGCGGGCTAATTAAGCTTACCTTGCGTATATGAATGTGGTTTGTTTCTTAAAGCTTGCACTGACGATGGCTTCCAGGGTAATTACTTAATGTGTTAAACTGTTACAAATAACCTTTTCTCTCACCACAGCATGAGCAAACTTAAGCGCACAGGAAAAACGTTAAAATTAGCTTGTCTCAGTACAGCACTGGCAATACAGCTGCTGAGTTTGGGAAGACCAGATGAAAAGCTATTTGTTTAGATATATATGTTCACAAAGTCCTTGCTCTGGCAGTAGAGGATACTACACGTTCTGCTCTGGCAGTAGAGGATACTACATGTTCTACTCGAGCAGTGAGGTTTGACCAGTGAGTTTCAGGAGCATTTTGTGTTCTTCAGCTGACGTGAAGAATTTAGCAGTGAATTTCTAACTGAACTCTTGGGGGCAGGAGAGAAGCGGATGGGAGTGGAAGGTCAAGCACTTTAATTCAGAGAGGACTTTATAAAAACACAATGTTATGTCTAGACTGGTAGTCTTGAATATCCCAAATTTCTGGTACGTTAATTAATGTGATTCCATTGACTGTGTTTATTGCCTTTCCAAAATCAATTCCATTGATTCTCGGTAATAATGTTTTGTCCTAGATCTTGCTTCAAATTTAGTTACATTTCAGACGATTTAATCTTGCCGTCACATCGAATGACAAGATTGTATGCTGTAGTTCTTTACTCCTACATTTGCCTTTCATATTTAGTAGGACTTTTTTTTTCTTTTTACTTTCTAAATCTGAACTCTCTCCCACAGTCTGTTAACATCAGTGTTCTCATCTAGTTTTCAGATGAAATACTAACGTTACTTGCTTCCATCTTGCATTGTCTCTTGACATTTTCATGTTACTCCGCTTAAAGCATTCAAATACGAATGCTGGTGTTGCTTTTTTAAAACCATTTCTGTCATCACACCTGATCTTGAAATTACTTCCTATTCTACAAAAGTTAAGTTACCTTTCCCAGTTTGTCCATTTTTTGTCCCAGTTTGTCGATGTTTTGACAGTGACTTTGTTTTTTAGGTCGCTTGTTTTGCTATGAGGCAGCTGCTGACTGCAGTTCAGTTTGTTTCTATAGGCAAGTTTCTGTAAGTATCAACAAATTACATGGCACGTCCTTTACTAAAAAGCATGTTTTTTCTGTGCTCTTATGCCTTTCGTCTGTGCACCGGTGTTGGCACCTGTTCTTGAGGGTCTATTACTTGTTTAGCGATGGATGAATACCGTCAGAAGCCGCAGAGAGCAGGGACTGATTTGGTACTTTGTGTGAAGCCAGATGTTCCTCCATCCTCGCGGCTGGAGAGGAGCATCCTGGATTTGTATGGGGAGCACCAACACCGCTGTGCACCAGCATCGCTCGTGCTTTGCACTGCCTTCTCTCCAAAACGATTCCCGTGTTTCCATGGAGTTGGCCGACCCAGACTGGGTTACTGTAGAGGCCGTTCGTCTGGGTCTGTGATAAGAAGCTGGAATACCCTTAGGACGTTTTCACTGGATGATGCGTGCACGAAGGAACTGGGACTCTCGCTCCTCTAGGGACCGACGGTTGCAGTTGGGCACACGCTTCGTGGTGCGAAGGCTGGGCTGGGCCACAGCCCAAGAGCAGTCAGTGGGAGGGAGTCACTCGCTAATGCACTAACGGTGCATTAGTTCGTATCAATACCATTGTTTAAAAGTTTGCTCATGTTTTTTAGGAACCACGTTAGCTGAAAGAACAGCCAGCGCTTTGGGGTATAACACACAAGTTATACCACAGAAGCAGGGTTTGCAAAAGAGAGAGCATCTTTTCACTGTGCCAGTTGGTTTACCTGGACGAGCTTTCAGTCTCTGTGTCTTCACCGAGATGCTTTGGAGCGTCGGCTGTTAATGTTACATGCTGCATCTTAACAAAAAATGCAGGAATCGAGTGTCTGGGGCTTGCCGTTTCCTGCTTCTCCGCTGGGTGGGCCTGCAGCACATCTGATGGGCTGCAACATGTCTGATGTACGATGATACATCTGCTGTACTGCAAGGCTTCCCATGTACTGTAAGGCAGGGCTCGGGGCTGGCACAGCTCAGCGTCAGGAAGCCTTTCCCCTCCTCCTCCCCTCCTTGCTTGTCTCCCACAACATCAATAGCAATTACATTCCCAGGTAGTCAAACCGCTAATGTTGTCAAGCTGGGTTTCTGTTCCCTGTAATGGGGAAGGGATTCGTTTCAGTCATGGCCTGTCAAATTAGCGGAGATGCTGTGTGTGCTGGGTAGCCCTCCCGGCAACGGGAAACCTTTGCTACATCTCATTCTTTGTATAAAGCTGTAATATTTCTGACCAGCTTTTTTTTTTTTTTTTTCCTTCACATTACCAGGAAGTCTCTTCATTTTCTGTATGCGGTCCAAAAGCACATAAAATTATTTTTCTCTGGGTAATTCACTGCCTTTCCAACTGTCGGGAAAGGCAACAGACAGGCAAGCTCTTCCCTAGTGTGGATCACATTGCATTGTAGCATTGTCTCGGTACCTTTGGTCCATGTAAGTTGACATATCCTTCCTTTGCTATACTTTTTAAATGTAGTTAAATAGCATCCGTCTCAGAACTAAAACAATTTATTTACACAGTCTATGGGATTAGAAGAGTTTTTAAAATATTTTTTTGTTGTTTAGGAGTTGCAAGCCCTAATACGTCAAGATGTGAGGACCTGAGATTATTTATTGTGGTTCTCCTTGAGCATCCTGTGGGATGGGGAAGTTCTGTTGTCCTGTTTTGTAGATGGGGAATGGGGTAAGGAGATGTATGTAATTTGTGTAAGTCCTGCTGCATTTGACCATCTTTATGCCAGCAAAACATAACGGGGTATTTCTCCAGGGGGGAATTCTCAGTCCAGCTCTCTGGGGCACGGTTTGAAAGTGGGAGGAGGTTTTGTAATTGGAAAGTCTGTCGGATCGTGTTTGCCAGCTTTGTGCTTTCCTAATCAAAGCCGGCAGGCCCTTAGCCAAACAGCAGTCCATGCTTTGGGAAGGACTGCAAGCGTTGTGCTCTTAAGGGCATTTTTTTTCTCCTATCATTTCTTTGCTGTATTGCAGGAAGTACTAACATTAGAAAAGCGAGGATTCTGTGGTCCTCATCAGGAATGGTGAAGTGGAAGATTGTCTAAAATTAGCCACTACTCCTGGAATAGGCGCCTTTCACAAATTGTACTGTAATTACGTGTCTTTAGGAAGAAGGGCGTTGCTCTGTT